TGCGCCTGCAGCCTAAAGAATGGTAAATCCAATTTGATATGGCGACAAAATTTTACCTCATTGTCTTTAAATAACTGCCTACAGCAAGCAGAAGAATAGTTAAAGTGCAGTCTTTTCACCGGAGATAGTAAAAATTGACTGTTTAGATATTGAATTAATATCACAAAACACGCTTGAATATCTCTGCTTTAAGATTTAATTCACTGTGGAAACCCCAGAAAATTCAGAGTTTTAATTAATTTACTAATTTGGCATCTTTTAAATATATAATAATTTAATTATTTCTCTTTAGTATGTTTGTTTTTACCATTTCTTAGTTTAAACTTTAATTTAGCTAGTAAATTTTGACTTGTAGTGATTCTGTAATAATTTGCAATATTTTTGTGACATTTGATAAATATGAAAACTGAGTTTCTTCTTCTCGGAATAATCTATGCTTCTCATGAGATTGTTAAATAGATATGAAATTTTCATTACCTTGAAATTTTTCTTCAAGCTACACGATTGGAAAATCCGTTAATTTATTCAAGTTAAATTAAAATACTTTACTTCAATCTACCTTACTTACAAATGACTTTTCGGTGCCGCAATCCCGTTCCTTGATTTTAAACTATAATTTGTAATAAAAGCAATTAGTCTGTTAAGACTATTCTGATATCCAAAGGAAAAATCTTTAACTTTTTAACACAGCAATACTCAAACAATTAATTATTTAGCAAATTTTTGTTCAAGAAATATAAAGATGTCATGAAGATTGTGAAAGCCTTTTTTAAACGTTTAGTCGTTAATTTTATGATGGTTAAATGCGCTCTTTTGCGAAATATTATCATTGATTTGGAGTTTAAAATGTTTTGAATTTTAATTCGCTGAATGTTATTTTATTCATTACTATAAATCATGTTATGCTAACCGATATTAAGGTATAACAAGGTACTTTCCTCATACCACAAAAGTGAAGTTACGATATTTCATTGGAAGCATGAAGGAATGGTTGAATTTAAAAAAAAGCCTTGTAGATAAAATGAGGTTAGTGGAAATGTCGAACCAATGTAATGGAATGTGAATTTATTAAAGTGTGCAAATTGAGAATATAAAATCCGTTTTAGTGTCTGAGTCAAACTCACTTTAAAAGTTCTGATATGACAATTTGAACAATATCAATCATAGAGCATCTTTGGGCTTTTTCTAAGCTTATTTATTTATTTATGATTAAAAATACAAAAAAATTATCATTATTGAAAACTTGTGATTTTGCTTGTTTTTAACTTGTTTATGTATTGTAATTACAATATTTTGACTTATTTATTTGCACATTCTTAAAGGCTAAAAATCCTTCAAAGAAAATGTACGTTCTCTCTGATCTCTTTTCTAAATAAAGTAAAACGTTAAAAAAAATTGGGAGGTTTCTCTTCTCTTGTGTTCTAGTCATAGCAGATATGACAATTGTCTGCATTTCATTTTTTCAAATTGCAATGCAAAGAATGATTTAATCAACTCCTGTTAGCAACTGTGTATACTTAATTAGTTTCAGATATACTGCAAACCCAATCAGCTACTTAGAGTTTTACAGACAGCTGTCTTGTCTATACTGCATGTAGCTAACCATTAAATGCAAAGAACGGCAAGCTTTTAGCATGGCAAATTTTCAGATTTAATTATATCCCCTTTACTGGCGAACCACGGTTCGAAAACTTGTAAATGAACTCTAAAACAGTCCCCAATTCTGACAAGAGGACGTTGATATGCAAATATGAGAAAAAAAGGAGCGATAGAATTTTGATTGCTGATTTAAATTTTTAAGCCTAGAAATAAACATCATTTACCAAATGTCCTTTGCATATGCCATTTTAAACATCACAAAATTGGTTTTAACCATTTTTCATTTTGTCTGGGAAAGTGAGGGGATCAAAATAGGTTTTCCAAAATGTGTTTAACATTTTAGCATTCAAATGTCTGCAAGTTTAATTTAAAGATTGTACATTTGACTACCCAAACTATACCGTTAGACCCCAATGAAAACCTTATGAAGAACAATATGCGTTTTTTGGAAAAAAAGGCATTTATATAATTTTCAAAAATGGATAAATTTTCAAATAATGAGATATTTTCATTTCGATAATTTGAAATTCATACGGGTAGTTCATGATAAAATCATAATTTTTTAAATATATAATGAATTACTAGCATTTAAGAGATGAAATTTGCCTCTCTATGTAATAGTTCCTTTTTTTAACGCTCACTTTACAAAATAGTTGAAATAAAATATTTGAAATATTATGAGAAGTTAAAGCAATAAATGAGATACTTATCTAGAAATTGGATTTCAAACGATTATAAGAGAAAGAAGAAAGTTTGTATAAAAATTCTCTCCCGATCTTCAAAAATTTTGCAAAATTATTTCCTCTGAGAAGAAGCAATTTGAAGTGAGATAATTACACTTTCAATATAATATTCTATATTGAATAAATTAGACTATTTCGAATCAAAACTGGATATATTATTATCGGTATCAATAAAATTGAGTAATGGTAATCATGCGAACATCCCCCAATATCACCAAGGAAATTTTAGCGTCATGTGGCATAATCAATGATTTCTGGTGTACTCTTGGTGGCGCTGCAAATCGAGATTTCAATGTGCGCTTCGATTCTTCTCCTCAATATTCGTTCTGTGATTACTTAAATATCTAACTTTACAGATCAACATCGAAAGCTATAGTCAGTAAATTTATAACTTGTTCGCATTAGGAGGAAAATTTAAAAATACTATTGCAAGGTTATATTTAGGCATAATTTGAAGGTTATTTGTTAATCAACCTCATAAAAGGCACCTTAAATAAAAGTATGTCCGTATGAACACGTAATGGTGTAGTTCTCAAAAAATTATCACTGAGAGAAAGCTTCATGTAATATTCAGATTTTAAATTTGGCGAATTTTTATTTAATGTGAAATTCGTTGGTTTCTCGCAAATAAATGATTAAGTTTACGTATCCATTATCTCCAGCGCTTATTGATCCCCTGTTTAATTATGCTGATCAATTCTTTCAACGCAAATCTGTTTGATATTTTATGACCAAGATCTCCACATAACGGAGACAAGAAGAAGTACCCACAAAAGGTGATTCTATGGACTATTCAATATTCAGAGCAACAGTAACGAGCTCAGTAGCTGAAATAAATAGTAAACAGTGTTTCTTTTGATATTTTAGTCAGAAATCACGGTTAGAGAATATGACATGAGTTCTTAAACTAAACTATTTTAATTCTTTTGCAGACTGAATACCCAAAATTTGATCATAAGAAACGGTAGCTGAAAGACTCGGAATCGTACACGGGTCAAAACGCTATAAAATATCGGTTGGGGAAGATTGATGTAGGTTCCATTAATGTGAAACATAAAGTGCAATTGAAGTAAGCATGAGCATTTCTATTTATGATGTCACTTGTCCAGTCAAGTTTCGTTGAACGAATTTTCGCATACCCTCGTAGTGTTACGCCACTAAATACATATTTCTTTGAATGCATTTGTCCTAAACAAATTAGAAACAGAATTAAAAGGTTAACGTTGTACTAAATTTGGGCTACATTTTGTGAGTCCTTTTCGTTAAGAACTGTTTCGTTTAATTTTCCCTCAAATCGAAAGGCAAATTTTAATTTCGGCAAATATTATTATAAAATTTAATAAAAAAACTTAAATTTGTCTACATCGAATTATACTACATTTTTAACCTCAATCGGTCATTTCGGAGGTTTTGTAATCTTTTAATGCCAGAATAAAAATCATATTTACATTTTTGATTTGTAATTACTGACGTTATTTTCCCTATTCAACTTGTAAATGCACAAAATCTGTTGCATAATTAAAGTAATTCAAAATTCTGGATTGGTGGTGGGGAAGGACGAGGGGNCCTTTTGTGTGAGAAAACAACTTGTTTCAAAGATCGGTCAATTCAATATCAATATCTCGACATTTATATAATTTAGGGAAACCAAATCAATTGACAGCTAGGTGCATTGAAGATAGAGAAGATAATGTGGAACAACTACAGTGGATCAATCAGGCCTTTCATGGAGCCGAAAAATCAACAATCACGTCCAATTTCACGCAAAATTTGTTTTTCAAACACACACACACACACACTTGTCATCGATCAAATGGCAGACCTTATGATGACCATCATTAGACCAAAAAGTCACGAAAAGTCGAGGGGTAGGGAACAGAAGAGTGATTCACAGATTTAAAAGAGTCAGACACAAAGGTAAAGAAAAAGGTAAGCCGAGTACTGTGAAAGTGAGCGAATATGACATACAGTGGGGTCATGGTATTTTGAAGTCAGAAGTCAACTGCCGGATTACAGACTTTTTTGCCGTATGAGTGCAAGTTGCCCAGAATGCACCACGTATAGGTAAGTCTATCGTGCACCCCGATCAACGCAAATATGGAGATATAAAAGGATACTTTACATGAATTCCTGCACTCTAAGGTAACTGTCCCCCCCCCCTTACAACCATCGCACTCAAAAGCAAGAACACCTCAGCTCACAGGATAAGAACTCGCATATATTTTATCAAAACAAAAAAAAATAATTCCAAGGAAGGAGATGATACTTTTACACGGGTGGACGAGAGAAGAGGAAATCAATACATAAAGAATGATCAAAACATTATGCTGTAGCACTTCTTTCACATTTATTCATAAAGTACATTTTAAATATATCAGGAGGGGGAGGGGGGAGGATTGAGGGAGGGAGGGAGGGAGGGGTGAGGCAGAAAGAGATGAGAATTTCACGAAACTTTTGGCCATGACACACCACTAGAAACACAAGGAAATGAAAGGATGAAAAGGAGAAATTGAAGGAAGAAAGGCGCATGAAGAATAAGACCGCAATAATGGCCAGTGGGTAAAATTCTTCTTTGTACAAGAGATAAAATTATTCTATTGAAATAAACTCGTCTGGAATGGCTCTCTCTCTCTCACTCTCACTAAGATTGATGATTGATCATCGTGGAGGAAGGGAGGGCGGTGAGTAAGGATATTGATTGAGGTCATTTCCATCTGCTCGGCCCCACCAACGGGCGATTGAATCGGGAAGAAAAAGAAAGAGCAAGAGGATCATGATACAGACGTTCAGCACTATGGATAACACCCTGAAATGACAAAAAAGAGAGGCCATTAAGCAATAACAGGGGCAAACGCAAAGTCATCGCACATCCAACGAATGGAATGGTCAACCGCGCGCTATTTAATTTAAAAGCGCAGCTCCCCCGGGAAGCACCATGATGCCACTCTTTAACTAAGAGGAATGTCAGGAACCATGTTCTCAAATGGTCTCAGAAGTTAGGCACGTAATTGTTATAGATAATCTTATAAGCTGGTTAACGTCATGGAAACCAATTCTGCTTTATCAACAACGGGGAAGAATGCATTGAAATGCCAAGATCAACAAATCCCAATAAAATAGTAAATAAAAAATAAAAATAATTATAGCGAAAACGGAATAACGAAGACAGGAAGGTGATCAGTAAACCAGATGACAAATCATGAAATTCATTTCTTGGAAAAGGTATTGTTTATTACGTAGGTACTGTACCACCCGATATCAATTCTCGCCAAGTCCTTGGCCTTACTCTTTAGTGGAAAATTCACTAAAACAAATCGTACGTTTTGTTGGCCTGCTGCGGGTTACAAAACAGAATTATAATTAGCTATAGAAGGGCATGGGTGCTGCCACTAACTCCAACCAACTGACAAGTGAGCTGATCGCGGTAATGAACTCACCCCAAATAGATTATGTTGCAAATGCTGACAGCGTGTGAACTCTGAAACTGTATTCACTGGACATTGAATCTACTCGGAACCACCTCCACATAAACACTTTGCTTGATTGCCTACCCTTAGTGAATACCTCCAAGTGATTTGAGACTGCAATTGCTCGCCTTACCCTAATTAATAAAAAATGCTCATAATTGGAGTTAGTACTACTCATATGAGGGCCAATGATTCTTGTTTGACCAAAATTGACTGAATTAGGACAATAGAATCGATAAGAAATAGGAGGGTATTGCCCATCGCTTCGCAAAAAAAAATTCGTTGGTATTTTTGGTGTGTTATGCTCGGATAAAATTCTGCAGACGTGAGATAACTAATTCTACCGCCTTTAAACGATGTTCCGAACCAGTTTTGACAAAGACGAAGAGGTTTGGAAGTGTAAAGGATTACTAATGTCAGTTGCATAAGCATAAAATTTAGCAAAACATACCGATTATTGGTAACCGTGGCACCAGCATTAAGGAAACGAATAAGCATTTGAACTAAGGTTGTAATGAAGACCAAGAGAGAGACGAAAAGATCAATCATGGTGTTGGCGATCGATTGAAGCAACCGTGGTTGATCCCGATCAAGATTTGACAGCCGTTCACACTTCTCTAGCATGGCCACCTAAAAAGGTTATTCAATGGGGTTACTACAAGCTACTTGAATTACATGAGCGTCAACAGCTTAGCGCATCTCAAACTAGAAAAAAAGTAATTGGCTGGCGGAAAAGCCAATAACAGCCAAATTAAATATTATTACTAAGATGGAAATGAGCGTTCTTACCTTGTTGCTAAGTGTGGTGAACATGTCGCGCAAATCCCGGGTTTCAGTAGCGAGTTGATACTTAAGAGGCTCTAGAGCGTGTTTCTGCTCATTTCGAATAGTGATGAGATCCTGTTGAACATTCTGTCGGAGCTTCTCTGCCGAGGCGTCCAGTTGTTCAAGCTTGGCCACTGTGTCACCGAGTTTCTGATTGGCCACTTCCTCCTTGGTTTGCATGTCGCGCTATAGCAAAGACAAGGGGGGGGGGAATAGAAAATATCCAGAGATTTGTGAACCGTTAATTAACACATTGAATGATGAAGTCTACATAACACGAGATAAAAGAAAAAAATGCCCAAGCACAGCAAAAAAAACAAGTGCAAAACTGAACTTATAGTTCCTTCTACACTAGACAACTTTGAAAATAGCATTTTTTAATGATATGACAACGGACACTAAAGGAACTTATGGATGAAATCGACTTTATTCGACACATTTTCATCTTTGAGCATTTCATGCGAATGCCTCATAAAATATTCCAAGTCCACATAAGATATTCGCTTGAAAAAATGCTACCACCGAAAACGGAGAAACGAACAAAAATCTCAACAAAGTTGACTTTAAGTACTGCAAGTTAGGATGAAAATAACCTTGAATAGGAAGTGGACTCACCCTCAAAGCATCCACTTCCACCGTAAGTGTATTCACAATATTCCTCGTCTCGGTAAGATCCGACCTCAAACCAATCAACTCCTCTTTGATCTCTGCGGTCATTTTCAGTTGGGCTTCCGCTTGCGCATCCATCAAGGACTGTGTGCGTTGGCACATCAGTGCTAGTGCCATGGCAACATTGTACACAGGTGGTGTGGGTCCACCAATGATCCCCTGTTGCTGCAATTGGCCTCCACCTGCAGAGGTCACCACCCCACCACCTCCATTAAGACTTCCACGAGCATCGCCCCCCGATTGTGTTGAGCCACCGCATGAATGGGTAGCTGGGTGGGTCCCACCGACTGTGACACTTCGAGGCAAGGGGAATAGAGTACTACCACCATGGCCTGAGGAGGTAGTTGGCATGTTTATGCCATATAGAACATCAATAATGTTCGCAAAGGGCATGGCACCGACTCCAGTGCCAGATGGGGGATTCGCATTCCCGGAATTGGGTTGGAGGGGAACGTGAGGGGAGGATGAGGAAGCGTGAGCTTCGCTACCTGCCCCCGAAGTGGCTGCTGAGTCACGGCGAGGGGTTTGCTGTTGATGCTGGCCTTGTTGGAAGAGGTGTTGGTAAGACGGACGTGAGGAAATGGAGCCTGCGCGATTCTTTTTCTTGAAGGGATCCTGAAAAAAAGCAGGAAAAACGTCGGATGTGATGAAACTGGGGCAATTTTTAAAGACCCTCAACAACCAGACAGGAGTTACAAACTGTTTATCAATGTTCCTTCTAAGAGACTCCCCAACACCGTCTTACTCAATGAATGCATACTGACTTCAAATACTCAATAAACTGTGGAAAACAATGGCTCAGCGGTTGATCAGATCGTCATCGAGTCAAGAGATCATAGGATCCAAGTCCACTAGTGGTCACCTAATGAGCCGAATGGCCAATCCCACTAAGTAAATCCGGGTAATGGAAAGAGAGTAGCAAGAGGCGAGTTTTTTCCTCAATGCGATCAATCTGGTCAAGAATAGTGTCAGGAAACTCTTTCCACCATTCAGTGGGACATTATGGCTGAGAGAATTGGCAACAAGGGAGGGAGGGGAGGGGGGGGGGACAACAAACAGAAAGTGACTAGTTGGGAAGTGATTTGAAGAAAGGCGGGGCTTCGTAAGAAAACCCATTCTAAAACTGAGAATGGCTTAGAAAAGATATAATTGAAGTGGTAATTATTCCATAAACCCACCTGATATTCAGGGACACCATTGCCGTGTTTGTTCGGCTTCTTGGACTTGGAGGGACCGATTCTAAAAATAGCCAAATGAAAGATGATATCATTCGTGTTGTCAATAGCTAAAAATTATACATCTAGCCTTTAATTAGCAATTGCAAGAGTATACATTCCAGTGCTGTGGATGTATTCTCAAGAAAATATGATCTGACGAATAATATACAAAGAACTTAACTCCAATTCATGAAAACACTTTTTTATCCATTAATTCGATTTGATTAATTAGACTTAAATGTCCTGCTTGCTAAACCAAATGGTAAAAAGCTGTCACCTCATCTCCTCGGAGTTAATGCAACAGAAGTGAAATACACAGAGACAAGCCGAGTTAATTTGTATCAATTAGCGCGGCAGCAGATGCACAATCTGATCCGATTTGAATGTGACAGAGACGTCACATGCAAATCACTATCCACGGTGCAAATACCTAATCACCAGCCTTCACAGCTGAGTTCCAATCGAATAATGGAATGTCTCCTGACAGAAATATACTAAGAAGAAAAGAGATGGTGAAACGTAGGGAAATTAAAAGCATTCCCCACTACTCCTTAAATCTCACCATCCGGTAAATGTTTTAATATTGGCAAATATACGTCTTTTTGGATCAAATTGATCAAATAGGAATAGAATGATAGGATAAAATGAAATAAAGGAGCAGAAGGTGCCGTAGAACATGAAGATCTCAGTAACAATAAATCTTCAACTATAATTGCTTAAAGGAATTAATGGCAATAGCTCATTTATTGAGGAGAATATTAATTTCATTAAAGGACTAAAATGAAGAATATGAGAATGGAACTTACGATGGACTAAGTGCTCGGGCATTCATCACAGAAGGAACCTTAGGGAGATTGGAAGCTTCGGCTAAAACGGGAATATATATATATATATGAATAAAAAGCTCTTATCTCTTAGCGTAATCATCAATCAATAAAGACACTAAAAGCTTCAAATTTGAGTGATGGCAAGACTTACCCCTATTGGCATAGGCAGTGGTGGGGATATGTTCATCGCTAATTGACTTTGTCATTTTCAACGGTGAGGCTGAAGTTGTGACATCTGACCGTCGACCAAATGGTTTGGTGAATTTCCTAGAGGGCAAGAGAAAAAGAGAACTTGACAGACACAATCGCTCCACAATTTAAAACGCAGCTGTGCAGTCTGCAATGAACGTGTGAAGCCTGAAAACAGATAACCCGGTTTACTGGGGATTGAAGATAGCGTGGAAGGTAGTCCAAAATGCTTATTACTAAGCGATTCTTTCCAGCACTGTCAACCACATGAACGGAACTCTGAATAAAACGCGCGATGATTGAATGTCCTAAGAACGCTTTTAATGTTACCTCCAATCTCTAGCCAAACGATGGTCAGTTCAATTTCATAATCGAAAAACGGTGTCATATGCCGTGCAAAAGACAATTCATCATATTCAAAACTGTCGAACAATACTTAGTAGCTATAAAAACCGGGAATTCGAAAATGGCATGAGTTAAACACAAGCTTCTTTAATAATAAAGTCCAGATAGGAAAGAAAAAAATGGCAAGAAAATAAGAGGAGTGCAGAGGCCGTTTCAATGAGAATAAATCAGAAGTTTGAGGATACAAATTTGCTCCAACATAATTCAAGAGTAAAACAGAGGAGCAGGTTTCTTTGCACCTGCAGATACATCCACAATACCTCTCTAAATGAAAAATACAACATATGAAGCACGCTAAATGATTCCAATTTGAATCACAGACAAGGGGAGAAGCATTGTCCTTCCATAATCAAATCAGTCTGTGAAAACGAAAGGCATATTAAAAAGTGTCAGTTCAATACATCCTATCGTTATGCTGACCACATGCTGTGTGAAAAATGCGATTCATAATCTTCATCTCAAACGAACACTTGATGGCCTGCTTCCCCTACTCCTTTTTTGTACGAAAGGTGAATAATCACACTTTCAAAAGATCTGCACCTTTACCTAAGGAGCAATCGTATCTGCTCTATCCTCTTTTTTTCAAGATTTGGATTGCTAAAGGTAGGTTTGAGATTATCTAGCTGTCAAGAGAGCTATTCACGAATGATCTATTTGTAAGAATTAAAACTACTAAATTCTAATTTACATGCACAATTCATAGAAGTACGTTCTTGATCGATTTTTGCACTTATTCGCACACCTGGATGTGCTTCAGCAAACGCAGGTGCATCCACGCTTGTAAGAGTTTTCTCAGAGATGGAAAGACCCTTTTCATTCATTCATTCACATTCTATTGGGTTCTCCTATTAATGTGAATAAGTGCTACTTTAAAATAACTATTATAACACAAAAGCTTTGAAGTCCACCCAATTGCAATTACCCTTTTGCGTAAAAGAATACTCCATTGATTGTGTAAGATTGGAAAGATTTCTACTCAAACATACTCTGATTTGCACAGGCAGCTGACCCAGATATTATAACGATCTGGTTAGCGAAGAACAAAGAAAGATGCTGGATCACAAACTAGTGAGGCTGGAGACGCCTTAAATTAACCGAACCAAGAGGTACTTAATTACTCGTCGAAAATCCATTAACCCCAGTCTCCAATTTTCGTCATTAGGCAAACTGATATTCAAAAGCCTTGTAGCCAAAAAAGGCGAGAATTTATTAGAGAAATAGAAGATTCATATGCGCATAAACCACTCCAATTATTAGATTCAAGCGAGCTCATATCAATGACTTGGAGAAATTAAAATTTCTGAAGCCAATTTTGATAGATCCTGATTTCTCGATAACAAGCATTGTGCGCGCGCACGTTAAAGGCCAAAAAAAAACAGAAATGGTTGACGCTACTGAACATCGGACTCATAACTCAAAGGAATGGAGAGTAAACTTAAGATCAACAGTTTCTTTTTCAGTGCTAATTGACGGAAACTGTTTACCCTTTGGCATATTAAGAAATTCCAATCCCAGTAAATAGTACCTTGTAGTCATATTTACACACCACTCGGCGGTTTGAAGGCTCACTTAGACGTTTCACTTCAATGAAAGACAAATGACCTTCAAGTTGGTAGTGATCTACAGGAATTGGTTTCACTTATTTACACCACCTATAACGATAGTAAAGGAATTTAATCAGGAATTTGGGCATTAAGATGCCTATAGCCAACTTGATGGGAACTGATACCTCTTTATTTGGATAAAAAAAGCTTATCGACACTTAAAATCTCAACTCATCTCTCCGTAAAGCATCCGTTTGAAAGCAATTGCAACAGATATAATGGTAGAACTAATTGTGTCTACTGTGAAAATTATCATTCCCTGCGTAATATTCACAGGTTCCTACTTGGAGAAAGAATTTTGAAATTCAAACGAATAAGAAGTTCAAGACTAACCATCCTGTAGCTTATATGACAGTTAAAATACCCACATGATTTCATCAATATATTGGACATATGCGTCCATAGGTAAACTCAAATTTCACTAGTAGCTGCACATACGAAAAACTGTTTTTGAGTGCCTTTCCAGCCGAAATGCGAGTCTTCTTTGCTGATTGCGGTTTTGGTGGGGTAGAAACGGTAGTGGGAAGAGGGAAGTACTGAGAGGTAGAAAACTGATCTGAAGATCCACTGACAGGTCGCTCTGATTCCCCAGAAGAACCAGATGGCCGAATCGATCGACCGGTTGGTAATCCAGGAATTGTCTCAATGGGATTCAAGTAAGGTTGATTGGGTTTAAGAACGGGGAGTGTTTGGGTCTTTTCCAAGTGCTGGTTTTCGACTTTTGAATTTGCCAACGATTTGGAAAGCGATGGAGATCGTGGAAGACGGTCGGAGTTTTGATCTTGTTCCCCTTGCTCCCCTCTACCAGCAACTTGGGACTTGTTGTTTGCCCTGTCGTGTTGGTGGGAGGGTGAAGAAGTCAGATTTTGATGACAACTGCCAGTCATGGTTGAGCGAAACTCATCTCCGGGTTTGATTGAAATTGTGGCGTCTGTCAACGAGATGGATGCATCTAAAAAAATGAAAAAAAAACAACTTAGACAACACCCTAAGGTACGAGATTGGGGTAACGAAATTCAATTTTCTCAAACTATGTCAAATTGAAAAATTAACTTTTGAAAAACTTAAATTCAATTAAACATGCAAGCAACTCTCTTTGAGTCGAAGTGACGTGGCGGACGTCAAGACTATTACGTTGATCTACCAGACAACTGCAATAGAGTTACCACACTAAGATGTGGTTTAGCTTATAGGCATTTACTCTACATCAATTTATGCGCAATTCTCAAACTGTTGCAAAATGGCTTGAATCCCTCGTTTCTTGGTACAAATGTCCATTGGAAATGAGAATACCTTGGAGCGTACTGTCGGCAATGATCTCCGTACCCTGCTATCTTTTCGATGGTGTTCATTTTTAACGGGCACATTGACTGTCAATATGAAACGGTTAACCTTGAACGTCTAGCCAAAGTAAAAAAAGTTTCCTCGATTCTGTGATGGTGCAACATCTGCAGTGTCGAATGGTGTTTAGTTGAGAATTAACGGGCTAATATCTCAGATCACCATGAGAGGACACTAATAACCCAAGAAAAAGAACACTGCGTTGAGAAGGCAATCAGCAAATCACAAATCAATGAAATTTTTGGCATTTCGATCAGTCGTTTCTAATTCCAGTGACAAAAATAGCCCAAAATATACTGGGAAATTACCCACTAATTGTGATATAGCACCATGATCATGTTGCTAGGCAGCACAGCGAACACTTGCACAGCTCCATATATGCTAATTTCAGGCATTCCATTTTGCTTCATATAAATAGTATTCAGTGCAAAAGTTCTTGTGCTAATTAAATTTGGTGTAATTTTATCATAATGACGTAATGATAATAGGACTATTTGAAGGATCATTCAACAGCCCAAAGATGAGTTTATTTCTCAAGTTGGAAAACATCATAATCACTTACTCTTCTCATTCTATTTGACATCTCAGCAAACAGGACGCGAGACCGAACTCCAACCACCAACAATGAGAACAGTGTTTTCATTTATTATAAACGTCGACAATTTAGTCAATCATCTTTGTAATAGCACTTTCTACTTTCATCGGATTAAGTAAACCAAATTTTGGTCAACGGCAGGGAGGGAGGGAGGGGGGGGGGGGGGGGGGGGGGGGGGGTGCAATCTAATAATGTTTAGAAATATGTATTGAGGGCTTAATAATAGAATTTGGGGTGTGGGATAGACATACCTCCACGTGGTGCATCCTGGGCAACGTATACTCATACGGCAAAAAAGTCTATTAACCGACAGTTCACTTCTGGCTTCTAACTACCATCACCCCACTGTATGCCATATTCGACCCCTTCCACATTACTCACCTCACCTTTTTTCTGGCTTTGTGTCTATCTATCTCTTTTACATCCTTGAATC